CCAACCCTTCGACCACAAGAACGGCCACGGCTACGTCAAGGCGCGCATCGCGGTTTCTACCACGACGCGATCTTTGTCAAGCGCAACAACTTCAACCTGCTGCTCCACGAGACGTTCGGCGGCGGCTTCTCGCCCACCGCCGTTCTCAAGCTGCGCCGCCTCGCGCGCAAAAGAAAGAAAGAAAACGGATAACCCAAGGGAGGGATGGGAGAACGGCACGCCGCCACCACACAGGGATTTTAAGGAGAGGGGTGTGATGCGCTAGCCGTCGCCCACCCTTGGGCGTCCGCCTCTTCCTATCTCTCTTCGCAGTCTCTCGCCGATTCTCGCTGCAACCTTCATGCCACCTCGCGGTCGTCCCACTCCTCGCGCGCAAAGTCGCGCTCGCACTTGGAGCACTTGGAGTGCAATCAGTAACCGCACATCCAGGGCCGGGGAGCTCAGAAGCGCACCCAGCGGGCCGGATGATTGGCATCGGGTTGCGGGCAAGAGAGCCCTAGCCCCGGGGGTGCGCGTTCGCAGGGCAAGGGCCTTAAAGTAAACACGGGTCTCCGAGGGTTGGTTCCGTGTACCGGGTTTCCCCTTAACTTCAGAACGCCCCCTCTACTCGGAGCTAGTAGACATGACACTGTACACCACGCACGTACACAGGTCCTCACTCAGCTTCCCGTCCCGGGGTTCCACCGCCCGCATTCCCAGGGCTCCGGTTCTCCCTGATTCGCTCTTTTATTCGCCAGCCGAGCGTCGCCTGACGGCCGCTGTAGCCGTTTCTGATGTCTCTTCTTTGGCCGAGGTCTCGCCTCCGCTTCACGGATCTTCACCTCCGACTGGTACTCCCGGCAGTGTTTTTTTTCCACTTCTTTAAAATTCTTTTTAGGCGCCCTATCCTCCGGGCTTTCACGGCGCTCCTGGAGAGGCTCCCGGTCCACCGTAGCAGGCATGCTGGCGAGGCGGTTCGCTCTGCCGCCCGTGCACGAGGCCAAGTACGAGCCCCGGCAGATTCCGAATGCCGCGCCCGACATGGTGGGCACGGCAATCATCCGCCCGCCGCGAGAAATCTGGCTGACGCTGCTCGGCGAGATGGTGCAGATGGTGAACGAGGCTTTGCGGAGGCGCGCGTCGTGCGCGCGTGACGCGTCAAAGCCGCTCTCGCTCGAGTACATGGCAGACCGGCTCGACGTGGACGACCCGTTGCTCGGCTACCTCGCGGTCTCTCGCGAGGACGGCTGGCTGCAGGGGTTTGTGACATGCACTACGTTCACGACCTGGCACGCCGACTTCCGCTGGGACTCCCTCTCGCCGGCCGTTGAGCTCGCGACCGATCACGGCGAGTCCCAGGGGCGGACTCCACGCGTGGACGAGGACGGGTCGCTCGCCGACGAGCTGCAGGCGCGCACGGCGCGGGTGGTGGGAGAATCTCCCCTCATTCTTGAAGCGTGAACGGAGAGCCTCGCCCCGCAGGCGCAGCTGCACGCGGGGGACCCGGACAACGAGGGCGTCGTCTGGCCGCGGATCGCCGAGCTCTCCTTGCTCGGCGCGCTCGGCTGCGGGCGGTGGCTCGTGCAGCTAGTCATTGACGTGCTCGAGAGCTCGAGCGAGCCGCCGTACGAGTACCTCGTCGCGCAAGCGACCGACAACTCGATACCCTTTTACGAGCGAATGGGCTTCGTCCGCGTGGGCGCCGTGACGGTGACGCGCCGCAAGAAAGAGCGCGTGGCGGAGGTGGAGGCGGAGGAGGAGGAGGAGTGGAAGCCAAAGGGCAAGGCGAGCGCGAAGAAGCGAAAGGCAGAGAAGCCTCCGAGCAAAGCTTCGTGGGTGGCGTCGCCGCACTCGACGCATCGCACCGACGGCGTGCTGTCGCGAGGCGGCGGGCGCCCGCAGCACGAGGGTGTCTCAGGCTCGGACATGCGACGGATAGGTGCTGACGAGACGGTCGCGCAGATCGCCGTTCGGCTCGGCGTGCCACTTTTCGATCTCATCTTCCTGAACCGCGCCAAACTGCCGAGGCTCAGCGGCGAGGACCGGCTCAAGCGCGACACGCGGCTGCTGGTTCCGGCACCGGTCGACGTGCAGGCATTCGCCCACTCGCCATCCGTCACTTGCGCATCTCACCGCGCGCACACCTTTTCATCCGACCCTGCACCCTTTCGGTGGTTCTGTTATTTTCGTTGCAGGCGGTGCGAGCAGGTTCTGCCTCCATGCGAGACGAGTGGCACACCGTGGCGGCGGACATGAGCTTCAAGGATTGCGCTCGCGGGCTCGGCATGGAGCCGCGCGAGCTGCTGCGGCTGAACACGCATATCAAGGGGCTGCAGGTCGATGCCACACTAATCCGATCCCCCCCCCCCCCCCGCCCGCCCGCCCTTCCGCACCGTCGTTCCACTCCTCGTGCACACGCTGCTGCACAGGTCTCCTCGGAGCTGCTGCAGGGCACGCGGCTTATCCTCCGCCAGTCTGCGCACGAGGCTGAAAGCTCTCGCCGCGCGGAGGGACCGCCGATGTTGGTTCCCAGCTCTCTCCGCTCCGTGCCTTAGGCGGAAGAGTATTGCCACTGGACGTTTCCTGAGGATGACCCGGCGAATGCGGAGCCCTCGTACATGATGGCGCGCCGTTTGCGTCGGCGGCCCACGGGTGCGAGTGCAGCCGGGGTGGGGGAGACTGGCATGGTGCTGGAGAGCATCGAAGGCGACACGCTGCGCGCGTCGAGGTTGCTCGTGCCATTCATGAAGATGATCCTCGAGGAGTGCTCGAGGGCCTTCACGCACCGCACTCGTTGCGACTAGGCCGCTGATGCTGGAAGAGCGCCCCGCTGTCCGACCGAGCGGCAAGCGCGCCGCGTTCATCCAAGCCATCGAGGACGCGAAGGCGGCGGCGGACGAGCGCGCGCGCGCGTGGCGCGATTCGGCGTGGCACGTCGTGCAGGAGAGCGCGGTCCCCTCACACGACTAGTCATTGCTAAGCAGCCCACTCCGGTCCACATCCACACCTCCCTACTCCAGGAGGACGCGCCGTTTAAGAAGACGGCGGAGGGGCTCGGGATGGACCCAAAGGAGTTGCGCGCGCTCAACGCGGACCGAATCAAGGGGCTCCAGCTCTCTGCTTGGGTCAAGAAGGACACGTGGCTGCAGATCAAGCCCCTCGACGAGCCAGAGGAGGCGATCCTTGCCGCTGGGCTGCCAAAGCCGCCACCTCTGCTGCATTTGGTGAACCGCGTCGTCGCAATCGACGGCGAGGACGACTATTCGTACTGGCACCGCGTGCTCGCCGCCCCGGCCCCGTCTCGTGTCTGTGTGTGCCGCACCCGAGACGTGTCCGCAGGTACGTGCTCACGTACTTGCCGGACTTACAGTGGTGCCGCGTCGCGCCGCTCGAGCAGCGAGGCGCGTTCACCAGCTCGATCCCCGCCCCGAGGAGCCGTCCGCGACGCGGTCGGCACGTGGCCTCGATAGGCGTTTTCGCAAAGCCAGCGCCGTGCGGCCATGTCGCAGACGGACGGCCCCGCTGGATGCTCGTGCCAGAAGAGATCGGCGGCGAGGTCGACGTCGGCGCAGGCGCCGCCACGTCGTGCGTGTCAAGGCGCGGTGAGAGGAGAGTGGGTGAGGTGGCAATGTGTGTACAGGCCGCTGCCACATCATGGAGGCGATCGAGATGGTCAAGACCAGGGCAAACGCCGACACCGAGGAGTGGGATATTGTCGGCCGTGCGCCGCCGGGCTGGGTCGAGGCGAACGAGCAGAGGTGGCGATGCCCGCAGTCGCAGGTAGCTGATGAGTCCAGCTTTGAACTGCAGGCGCAATGCGCCAAGGCCGCTAAGCCGAAGAAGGCCAAGCCGCCCAAGCCGTCTTCCAAGCCAGTGGCCCCGTTGGACCCGCTCGCCGCCGCTGCCCCGGTGATCGAGCAACTCATTCGGATGAAGAACGGCAAGACTCGCCGACCAGAGGTCTCGCCACGCGCGCTTCTCCCTCCTGACTACCGTACCCCTCGCCAGGCGACATTTTCGCCGAGCCGGTGGATTGGGAGGCTTTGGGGCTGCCAGACTACCCGACCGTCGTCCCGCGGCCCATGGACCTCGGGACAGTGCTCAAGCGGCTGAAGAGCGGCGCCTACGCCTCCGTCGCCGACCTCGCCGCCGACGTGGAGCTCATTTGGTCGAATGCTATGGCATACAACCAGGACGGCTCGTTCGTGTACAAGGCTGCTGTCACGCTGCGCGCCGCTGCGAGCAAGAAGTTTGCTCCTCTTCTCGCTCTGCCCCACCCGTCGTCTGGGGACCAGGCGGCCGACGGCAAAGGCTATCAGGGCGGAGTGGGAGGTGCCCAGGCGGGCGGCAGCTCTGCGGGTGGAGAGGCGGGAGCTGGCGGCGAGGAGGAGGCGGGCGGCGGTGGCGGCGGAGAGGGAGAGGCGCCAGGGGATGGAGCGATGCTGTCGCCACCGCCGGCAGAGGAGAACGTGGCGATGGAAGGCGCGCCAGCCGACTCCGGCGCAGCCCTCGCGCCGGGCCTTGTCGGCGACGCCGTCGTTGCGGCAAGCGCCGGTCTTGCCTCCGCGCTCGAGCTGCCCGGTGACAGCGAGGGCGCTGCGCCGGCCAGCCTTGGCGCGGGTTTCGCCGAGGCGACGCTTGTGGCGCCGATGACGGGCGCTGCGTCGAGCGACACGGCGGCGGACGGCGGCGGTGGCGACGGCCAGGGCGAGGCCGCCGGCGTCGATGGAGGAGAGGCGGACGGCGGCGAGGGCGAAGCGGCCGGCGTCGGCGAGGGCGGAGCGGCCGGCGTCGGCGAGGATGGAGCGGCGGACGGCAGCTGAAGAAACAGCAAGCTTCTAGAAAAGCTCGTAGATTGCGCTCCACGGTGGGTCCAGGCTGAAACGACCCGCGTGGTTTATTGCGTTTTCAATTAGGCTCGTAATTTTAGGCTTGGCGGTGAGAGAGAGAGATATGTCCCAAACATACTCTAAAAATACACAGCGTGGCGTGGCACACGTAACCCCACGAAACAGCAGCACTCAGAAATGAAATTCAGCTGCGAGGTCATCGATGGACACTCCAAGACCTCCCTCCTCGTGGGTGGCTGGGCTCACCGGCGCCTGCTGCGTGGGAGAAGGGCCGGTGTTGAACGCACAGAGAACCTCTACCTCTAGCTCGGGCGCATCGGCTCCCTCACCAAGCCGCTCGGCCGCAGCGAGCCACGCACTACCCGCCACCATGGAGTAGCCCCGGTGCATCGACGAGGCCACGTGCTTTTTCCACTGCCACGGCGTAGCAAATCGCGACTTGCACACGTTGCACTGGATGAGGTCGCCACCGTGCGTGCAAAGCCTCTCGTGGTCGTTTGCATCACGATAGCTCTTGTAGCCTTTGCCGCACTTGCCACATGGGAAGTACGCCAGATGCTCGTGCTGCCTCTGCATGTGCCGCCGCAGGTTGATGTGCCTGGTGAATTTCTCGCCGCATATGTCACAGATGTTAGCCGGGGCAACGTCAGGGCTGCATGGGCGAGACCTCGGTTCCACCATCGTCCCCGAAGTGCCGGGAATGGGGCAAGTTGCGGCAGCACCAGAAAGGTCAGCGGACGTGGAGGGTCGCAACATATCAGGGAGGCGGAGGCGGCTTGTGAAGGGTCGCAGCGATGCAGAGCAGACTGACGCGGCCAACCTGGCGCTCGAGAGCGCCGCGAGCTTTCGGCGCTCGTGCGCCTCGCCGCAGTCTACGGGGAAGGCGACACGGCTTTCCCCTGCGACCGACGCCTACTCGCGGCGCAGAAAAAGTAAGTTCTTTTTCTTTACCACACACTAAGAAACTAGGAGTGTGTGTGTGTGCACCAAGGGCTTATGCTCTGGCGAGATGTGAGGCGCATGCGCCCAGGAGGGGAGGGCGCATGCGTAACGATGCTGCTAGAGATGCCTTTCGGGGCCCAGAGATAAAACTTCTGATGCCATGCGTGACCTAGTAGTGTCCCCAGCTATGGGCGTGTCCACGTTGGAGCCAGGTGTGGTGTGGGCGCGAGAATAGCTCCGCCGTTCATGGAGGCAACCGATACGAGTCGACTGGTGTGTGTCGTCGTGGTTTCGTATCAAGACTACTCACTCACATTAAGAAACTAGGAGGCCTGACTCTCGAGGCCTGACTGTTCTTCACCTTCCTACATACATACATACTAGTAGATTCCTACAACCTCCAGCGAGCGAAAGAGCACCCCCCTCCCCTGACTAACTAATAATGCACAATTCTACAAAGCGCCTTTCAATTTCTCTTGCCTCGGTCGTGCAAATCTCGCGCGAGCTGAAGTCAACGCTTCGTAGCCCAGGTCCGACCAAGCCACATCGCGGCAATCTCACTCGCCGGCGGCTCGCTCGCGTCGTACTCCAGCGCGGATGCGCTGCCCTCGAGCGAGACGCAGGCGGCCGCGTCTGCGGCAAGCGCCGCCCGCGCGGCGTCCTCCTCCGTATCTGCCGGAATATGTCGCGAGTCTTCGCCCCGCGGAGAGTGCGTCCTCTCGCCGAGCCACCACGGCGCGGTCTCGCCAAGCCACCACGCCCTCCCGCCCCAATCCGTTGAGGCAGCGTCCGAGGCGCATACTCCTTTGGCCGGTGTACGCAACTGCCCACCAAAGGGCGTGAGGTTGGCCTGAACTGGGGAGGCCGATTCCGGGGATGGCGGCATCCTCGATAGTGAGGGCGACTGGGGACGCGAGGCTCGGGGGTCGGGCGAGAGGGGTGGGGGTGTGGAGGACACGGTCGAAATATCGCTAGTTGTCGCTGAGGCGCGTGGACCACCGTAGACAGATCGGAGCTCCTTCTCGTACTGAGCCAGCTCTGCGAACCGCGCAAACCGTCGCGCCCGGTCTTCCTGTGCAGAACCGTGCAGTGCTCCACCTGCGACATCGCTGAGAGCGGCAAGCACGTCGATCGAGATGCCATCGGCCACCTCGCTTAGCACGTTCGTGAGCTCTTGAGAGCCTTCGCATGCCGTATTGCCGCAGGGGTGAAGGAGCGCATGCGTGCCACCCTGCATGGCGGCCTTCTTCCTGCAGCGCTTGAACTCGACTGGTGGTGGCGGACGTGGGGACGCGCTGTCTTCGACCTGCACCTGGCCCCAGCCCCAGCAGGGGCCCAGGTCTGCGGCGGCCGGGCGCAATGCCCGCGCCGCTCCAGCTGCCTGTGCCGCGGACCCGCTGCTCCAGCCAGAGGGAGAACCGTGCGGGGACGCACTGCCGCGGCTCAGAGGGCTGCTGCAGCTGCCACGCTCGCCAGCCCGGCCGCCGTCACGGCCGCTCAGCGGGCTGCCCGGGTGGGCTGGGCCGTTGGAGAGCTTCAGCTCCCGGCTGTATGAGCGGGCGCGGGGGGAAAGTGCCTTTGGCGACGGCGATGGGGGAGGCTGCGGCCTAAGCATGCTTGGTCCTGCCGCCGTGTCGAGTGATGGCGAGGGCACCGAGATAACAAGGCTCGGCCGTCGCCCGCACTCCGTCATGGGGACTCCAGACTGTGTTGACCGCACGACTGTTGTTACACCGACCAGGAACATTTTTTTGAAATCTTTTCTGCCCCCCCCCCCCCCCCGCCCCCCCCCAAGCGAGGCACATACTCGAGTACGTTGAAACACAAACATCGACGCGGCGAAGCGTGGCCGAGAACCCCCGCTGTGTCCAATTTTTTTTTCACGAGACGTTCGGCGGCGGCTTCTCGCCCACCGCCGTTCTCAAGCTGCGCCGCCTCGCGCGCAAAGCCGCGCGCGGCAGCGTCGACCGCACGGCCTACTCGCCCAGGTACTCGCTTTCTTTTATGTCCCACCATGCAGAGCGCATCTCTCTCTCTGTTGTGCGAGGCGTGAACCGCGCCATTCGCTCTCACCTGGCAACCCTGTCTGCACGTCTCGCGCGCGCGTGAACAGGGCTCCAGGCCCCAAATGACGTGTGAGTGTTAGAGTTTGTTAGGAGCGGGCGCATCTCGTTCGACCGGGGCCCCGCTGGGGCGGCTGTCGATATAAAGTCTTGGAGAAGGGGATCGTCGAGAACGAAAATCGGTTAGTGGTGCGCTAACCCCCAGAAAGAAACCCTTCGGGTCACTCCTCATCGCAAACCCTGTCAGCAGTCCTCCTCCGGGAATGTACGTAAGAGCCACATACAGTGAGAGAGAGACCAGTAAGCTAGTACGTACGTACAGTGAAAATGGGGTTGTGCGTTTACGTGAAATGCTTGGCTAGGATTCCAACATAGGTAATGAATTCACAGTGCGGCAAATCCTGACGACCGAGCTGCATCATGCTCGTGCTGCTCCACGCCTGCGCTGCTGCGCTCCAGCCGGCTACAGCCCCGGCACGAACCGTCGCTGCCGCCTCCCGCGCCGGGAGGCCTGCCTGCGCCGCCGCGACTAGTGATGCCGCCGACAGGGCCAAAGCCGCGCTCGACGCGATGGACGCGGATGTGTCGGCAGCCGAGGCGGCGTCGGCAGCCGGCGCCGCCTTCACCAACCTGAATGCAGCCGGCCCGTCCGTCTTCCCGCTCGCCGCCGTCGTCGGCCAGGAGGCAATCAAGACGGCTCTGCTGCTGTGTGGCGTCAACCCGCGAATCGGCGGCGTCGTGATCTCCGGCTCGCGCGGCACAGCAAAGTCCGTCATGGCGCGGGCGGTGCATCAGCTGCTCCCGCCCATCGAGGTGTTCAAGGACTCGCCCTTCAACATCGACCCCGAGTCGGGGGAGTACGACTCCTTTCTGAAAGCCAAGATTGACGCTGGTGGGCCGGCCCTTGCCCTCTGCTCTGCCCTGCTCTGCCAACCTCTGCTCCCCTTCTTCCTCCCTCCCCCCGTATCCTTTCTCACCTCACCTCACCTCACCTCACTCTCCTCTCTCTCTCCTCTCTCTCCTCCTATCCTCTCCTCTCGATCTTCCCTGCCTGCTCACAGCCTCTGTCACCCCGTCGCCGCCTCTCCCTCCTCTGCCTCCTCGCTCGGCCTCCTCTCACCCCACCTCCCCCCCCACCCCACCCCACCCCACCCCACCCCACCCCACCCCACCCACCCACCTCACCCTCTCCTGCTACGCTTCGCAGGCGAGATCGATCCAAATGCGCTGGAGACAGAGGTCATCGACCCGCCCTTTGTGCAGGTCCCTCTGGACGTGCTGGAGGAACGCCCGAGGTTGCTCCATGTCGGTCGACTCACAACACACCTCCAACAACACGCCCGAACATGTCCACAGGACCGGTTGCTGGGCGCGGTCGACGTGGAGAAGTCGGTCCGTACCGGCGAGACCGTCTTCGAGCCGGGCCTCCTCGCCAGAGCCCACCGCGGCGTGCTGGTGACGCTCTTGCCTGGCTCCTCTGCCCCGTTGCCCCTTTCACCCTTCCTCTAGTCTCGCCCTGTCACGGCACTACCGGACAGCGTGGATCTGACTCACATAGAAGTAA